AGTGAGACGGCAGTAGATAGAAATATATATGATTCTTAGTAGGTTAACTGTATCTTTTGGTGACATGTTATGTTTTGTGTAGCATATTATTTGTTATGAGAATGTATAAATTATCACATGGCGTCCCAATAAAATTCAAATCTATACTCAAAATGATACATCTTAATTTTCATTAACAAATCGACCCCGACATAAAATATACCAAGTTCAAGAAAAATGACTAGACAACCAGCTTGTAAACGATCTGAGACATTGGAGATACGAGATACTTGGAGAGATGGTTTGCTTCTCGGTAAAGCATTAAGATAACATTCGATTACATCTTAAACTATTTGCAGAAATTTTCAAATCTTGTTGCATTCTATGTATAAACGATATTTTTGTTTGAATAAAATTTTAATTCAATTCAAAGAAAAAAAAATGATTAGTTCCTGATTGGTTAAATAAAAGGTAAAAATCATCAAAAAATATTATTGTTGTTTACTTATTTATTTTGTTTCCAAAGTTTTGGTATCCCACCAAGATACTCTCTTTTATAAAATGTTTTCCAAGTAAATCTAAGCCCCATATAAGAAATGTGCCTAAGCCCATCTATCTTGTCATGACGTGAATTGAGCTGTTCGTGTTCAAACACGTCTTACATCGAGACAATTAATTAAACACCACTTACTATACCATACTCTTTCGGAGTGTTGCGAGCAATTTATAAGTCACAAATGTTTCTGACTCCAATCGAGTGTTGCCATTTCAATCAGCTCTTCTCAAACTATTTAGAGATTGAGATTCTATATATGTAATATTTTTTAAAAAGGTATGATTGATGTGAGTTGCCCAAAAAATAAAAATGTATACATATAATTAAAATAGGGGTTTAATGTGCACATATAATTAAAATTAAAATTTATGATATTTAAATATTATATGTGAATTTTGATTATATATGATTATTGTTCAATTGATGCAATTTAAATTACAAAATAATGAACTGTTTAGTAAAAGACAATGTTTGTGTTTAAATAATACTCTAACTTTAATGAGTATGTTTTTATGAGGATCATAAATTATTAAATTTTTGAACAACTATTACCGAACTTTAAATTTACTGTTTTCAAAAACCGAAAGGATGTTAGTTTTTTAATTGACTATTTGTTAAACTATTATCGCACATTTATATTTGTCTCACTATTTTAATTGCAATAGTTGTATATATGCCCATTGTTTTTGTTTAGAAAAAGTCTTATTGTTTTTATTTAAATCTTTGTAACTTATATATAACTAGTGTATATAATTTGAAATCTTGGATATATCATTTTTTAAAAAATATACTAATATTTAATCATGTCATAAAAAGAAAAATTTAAGAACCAGACATTAATAGAACTAACCTAGAAAATTCTAGACATAATCGGATAGTTCGAAAATCTGGTTTTCTTCAAAAATATAGGCGACTTTTTTGGGGAAAAAATATTAAATCTAACATTGGTCATTTGGACATCTTTTAGTTCGTCATAAATGGTTCTTTGAATTGTATATATGACCTCTATTGTTTTTTTTTTTTTGACAAGTTATTGTCTATTCACACAAAATTACAGAATAAATATAATTTTAAAAAATATTATTATAAAAGAAATATTTATTTATTACTCTCCACAAAAACATTATCTCCACAGAGAGAGTATGGAAAGGACAAATAGGAGACGTGGACGCTCTTTAAGCCCGTCAACAGATTTCCTTGATATCTCTTAATCTCTTTACTTGCCACACCACAACACATCACTGATCCTTCTCTCATCCTCAGACGCAGCAGCGCAAACACAACCACAAAATATCTCTTTAATGGCTCAAACCATGCTGCTTACTTCCGGCGTCTCCGCCGGCCAATTCTTGAGGAACAAGAGCCCTTTGGCTCAGCCCAAAGTTCACCATCTCTTCCTCTCTGGAAACTCTCCGGTTGCTCTACCATCTCGGAGACAATCATTCGTTCCTCTCGCTCTCTTCAAACCCAAAACCAAAGCTGCTCCCAAAAAGGTTGTCACTCTCTTTATTTACTTGTCCGACAAGGAACATATGTTTTGTCTTGATTATAATGTTGAGTTTTTTTTTTATATACATTTTAGGTTGAGAAGTCGAAGAAAAAGGTTGAGGATGGTATCTTTGGAACGTCAGGTGGGATAGGTTTCACGAAGGCGAATGAGCTATTCGTGGGCCGTGTCGCTATGATCGGTTTCGCTGTAAGTCCCCACTCTGAGATACACTAACTTACCTTCCAAGAAAGAAGCTTTGATATGAATGTTGAGTTTCTATGCATAGGCATCGTTGTTGGGTGAGGCGTTGACAGGAAAAGGAATATTAGCTCAGCTGAATCTGGAGACAGGGATACCGATTTACGAAGCAGAGCCATTGCTTCTCTTCTTCATCTTATTCACTTTGTTGGGGGCCATTGGAGCTCTCGGAGACAGAGGACAATTCGTCGACGATCCTCCCACCGGACTCGAGAAAGCCGTCATTCCTCCCGGCAAAAACGTCCGATCTGCCCTCGGTCTCAAAGAACAAGGTATCTCTCAAGATTACCATTTCTATCTTTGTTACAATGGCATTGCTTTGAACACCTATAGAATATAACTTGATGGATTTCTATAGTACCTAGTATAAGTGAATTGGCCTTGACTAGTTTAGTCTTTGAATTAAGTATAGTGTCCGAATCGGCTTTATGTTGATTTATCTTTATCCTAAGATACAAATATGACATTTACTGAGAGTTGTGTAGTCTAATTTTTTGAAATGGTTACAAATTCAAAATTTAAATATGTTTGTTGTTTTGTTGTGTGAAGGTCCATTGTTTGGATTCACAAAGGCGAACGAGTTATTCGTAGGAAGATTGGCACAGTTGGGAATAGCATTTTCACTGATCGGAGAGATTATAACCGGGAAAGGAGCATTAGCTCAACTCAACATTGAGACCGGTATACCAATTCAAGATATCGAACCACTCGTCCTATTGAATGTTGCTTTCTTCTTCTTTGCTGCCATTAATCCTGGTAATGGAAAATTCATCACTGATGATGGTGAAGAAAGCTAAATTATCATGTACTTAAATTTAGTAGAGTGTGTGACCATCTCTTCATGTTGAGACAAAAGGAAATGGACAGCTTAAATTGTTGTAATACTTAAATCCTTTTGTTTTAACTTGGAATTTTCTGATTATATATATTTTGATTACACCTAAGTGATGACTAGGTGATTGATATCATCTAGCATCTCTCAACAAACAAAACAGTCCAATTAGAACAGCTTCATCATGTTATGAACTTATTTGATTACAAAATCTAGATTATAAAAGTAATTTGGTAAATCATCGAGAAGCCGGTGATTTTGCTCTCGTGGCTCTCTAAAAATCAGCACATAACGACAAGTGTATGGCCTAGTACATTCATATGATTTTTCGTCAAAGTGAAGGTAGCATCTCCCCTAGAGGGATTTTCTCGACTCGTCCGGTGTATCTGGTTTGTATCCTAAGCATACAGTGTGAGAGTCAGGGTTTGTTTTAGGAGCCCTTTTTAATGTCCCAAGAAAAGACAAGTACAAAGGAATAAGTAAAAATGCTCGTCGTTGGGACAATATTAGTGTCCTCCCGTTGGCTTGGCAAAACAAGATTAGCTTCTCCCTAAAGGGATTTACCCAATTTACCTTACTTGTCGGGTAAGTGAAGTATGGCATACGATCTTCTCACCAAGATCGCGAATTGGACTTCACTTTGGGAATGGGACTGCCGAATAACCATAAGTACTTATGTGGAAAGGAAGGTTGAGCTAGAATGTGTGTCCGGGGTGGATTTTCCTTCAATCATTTTTGAGTGCATTATTTATGACACGGTCTCTCATCTCCTAATCCTCTCGTCTGTAGAGACTTCCTGGCAGCCCCGGTTCTAGACATGCGGTGGAGGTGCTACAACACATGGTCCATTCATTTTTGCCTTTTTCTGAATGTAATCCATTAGAATTAGGATCTAAATTTTTTTTTATTTTTATTAAAATACATGAGAAAAGGGCCCTTTTTCCAATCTCAGGACCTCAAATTTATTGAGCCAGGCCTGCTTCCTTCCGACTCATAAGATTGGGATATTCTAGATATATACCGACAATTATCCAGCCTAATTCTCATAAAGAGCCTCTTATGGAGAGGTTCCTCTTTATCTTCTTGACGTTTGGCGAGAAGTTCGTTGGTTTCTATTCTTGTGCTTTTGATACGACATGACAGAAGAAGGAAGCAGAGGAAGTCAACGGAGCCTTGACTGCCTGATGAGCTGGCAAAGGATAGCAAAGTCTATGGGCACAACAGAGGGTTTGATGTTGTAGGCTTCAAAGTTTAAATAAGAAGAGTTACCCGTTTAAAGAGTTTATGCTTTTGATTGTTGTGATGTTTCCAGATGTCATTAGTCTGAGGCTACAATCATGATGAGATCATAGAAAGTCTCTTTGCAATCGCCATGAGATTGTAGAGAGATAGAGTTTAGGATTTATCTTCTTGTAAATGAGTTACATAGATCAATAATACAGAGGTTAAGGTTCATAAACTTAATAGCTTTTCCCCGATAGAGCATCATAGACGTGTTTTATGAGGTATTCAAGATAAGTCCGAGGTTTCTTAAAGGCTAGTTCAACGGCTATTTCTAAGTGAACGAGGTTTTCTTACATGGACCTTTTCATAAAAAAGTTATGGCTTTTTAAAAAATTTATGATATGGGCTTTTGTTTTTTAAAAAGGTTTGCTCTTTTCATTAAAGCTTAGTTTCTTTCTTAAACATTCTTTTTCTTTTTGAAGTTCTGGTTTTCTTAATACAAAATCTACAAAAAACCATTGAAGAGCCGCAAATGATTAAGTTATGAAAAATCGTTGATTATTTGCACATAATTAAGTAAAAACCTAAGACAATTTAAGAGAAAAGAAAAAGAAAAATAGCTTAGCAAATTTTTTTTATATAAATTAAATAAATTATTGTAAATTTTGAAAAGTAATTGATTTTAGAGTTTCTTGTTGGTCGGGGACAAAGGCCTTAACCAACTTCTACTCAAGTCATCTTCACCTTTAACTTTGGCGGACAAGTGGCATGCTCGAGACCGGCTCTTGAAACTGATGACGTGTAAGAGTCGGCGAATCCGTTTCCTCCACGTCAGAGGATGTGGCATGGACTGAGGAATAATCTCCTTCTTCGTGTGGACCATGACATGTTGGTATTGACGATCCCATGAAGTCTTGCATTGTTTAAGCTGAGATCTTTCTTTTCCTTTCTCCCATGAAGTTGCTCTGTTGTCTTCGAAGTTGATCGAAATGAATGAATCTGTGAATATATAAACAAAAAGAATTTATGGAGCCATTTGGTAACGTTTGATCCACAATCCCTATATACTACAACATTCCACAATCTCTAATATTTGGCTATGTACTACTACTATACATATATTCTCTAAATAAAGTAAAAGAGTTTAGTACCTTCTGGACTGATAATGGAGATATTTTTGTGATCAGACTTGTGATGTCGGAGTTCGAAGAAACTAAGGAAGGAGAAGATTCTAATGGGTTTCTTTCTAGAAGAATTTTGAAGGATGGTTTTCGGTTCTTCGATGGTTTGGTAGGAAGGAGGAGATGGAGGGCGTAGTCTCTGAAGAGAAGCCAAGACCAGAAGCCTCTCGTTAAGACAAAGAGGACACACACCTTCAATAAACTCTACTGGATGGATGTTACAAGAAGATGTTGAGCTTTTGTTCTGTCCTTTCATGGCCTTTCTAGAAGAGAGAGAGAGAGAAAGAGATAGGTGAAGAAGTCGCAGACTGTTTTAGTTTAGAGACTTGATTCGGCAAATCTACTAAAGATGGTGAGAAGCACAATTTGTGTGTGTGTGTAAGGATTTATAGGTTTATGAGCTGTCACTATATTTACAAGATATTAAATAATGTAATCTGATTTTGAAATTTAACATTGATTCGAAATATTATCATGATTGGTAATCAAGAATATAATTAGGGAATGGTTGGTACATGTATGCCAAAACCATGACTCATATGGATTTAAGTAATTGAAAGTGTGAACTAAAAGTGTTAAAGGTTACGGCGAGTTTTGGCAGATTTTGAAAAATAATTAATTTAATTTTTAAGTCGATTTTAAAATTAGATAACTATCATTTTAGGAAAAAAATATATCAAAATAAGTAGGTATCTATGCATTATATTAAAAGATTTTTGTTGTTGTTGGTATATTTAAATAACATGTAATTTTTATTATTTTTATTTTTTACAAAATGTAATATATCAAATTAGAATTTGTTTCCAATATTTTCCTAATACGTCAAATAAAGTGTATCTACCAAAAACCAAAACCACAATTATAACCAACTTCTGATAATTCAATGTTTGAACTCTGAAGAACTGAATTGAGAAGGATTTAAAATTTTCTATTGCGATTCCAATCATAGTTGATCATATTGATCTCAAATGACAAGAATATCCGACTTTCCACATGTTTTGAAGATAAATATATATGGACTTTGTTCATGATCACATGACAATTATAATAGAAGTTGAACACTATTGACCCTTTATAAATAAGCTATATATAAAAATTCATGTGAGATAGGAGAACATGTGAATGGTGGTGGGTGAAATGTTAATATGCATGAATAGCATAATCCTTGCATATGAGAAAAACTAAAAGTAATGCAATTATCACGCTGTAATTGGGTCCACACTTTTGGCTATCCCCAATCATTGATAAGTCTTAAATCTTTTGTATATATAAAAGTGTCAAAAGTGCATTTGAGTTTTGGAAGATTGTGCTGTGGTTTGTTTTGTAATGGATACTTGTATATATCTTCTTCTTCGTTAACTTTGACCAACGCCAAAGTTTTATCTTCTTTTTCTAGTCATTAAAACTCGTTTAGGTTAATAAACGAATTACTTGATTTATTTAAATTCTTGGACAGATTGATTGATTAGTATGCAATAAGTATTATAGTTTTCAAAGTCGATACAGATATATTATGGTGAATAGCTAGCTTAATAAAAGTTTTACCTAAGTGATAACATATCATGAGTCGAATCAAAATAATTAAATGTGCACACTCTTTGTTTAAGTGGGCTCTAACCCAAACTTTTGTGAATTGATACTCATAAACCTGGATTCTCAACCATACGCTGACCAGAAAAGACAAATCTCATATGGGACGTGAAACTATGAGAGTCTCGTTAGCAACTTTGATGTACATTGTCACTTGAAATAATGATATTGTTGTCAAAGTAAAAGAATGGTTGAAAAACATTATACCCTTATCTGAAGTTTCAACCAATCGAAGTAAAAGTAGAGAAACAATATTTCAACATAAATAAAAAGAATAAATGCATCGTAATTTTTTTCTTTATTATTCACAGAAGAAAATTGTTTTATTTACATTTTCTCTTCTTCTATTTCTTTCGTTGATAAGAGTAAAATTACTTTAATGACTATTCTCTCAAATAAAGAGGTCATTGTAATAATTAGGGGCGAATTCCACAAAGCTCTCTAGTTTACACAATAGACTAACATGTTTTAAACTAAGCTAAACATAAAATTAAGTAAATTAAAAGTAAATAAAATAATTAAATTAGTTGTAAATTTAGATGGATGAAGCGTCAGGCTCAGTGAATTTCTCAGGAAATATCAGAATTGTAGATCTAGCAGTTATTTTTAGGAATTATATAGGAACCGTTCAAGAACTCAAATCACAAAACTATAATCAACCAACAATAGTCTGTATTGACAATATATGCCTAACGTTCGGAATCATAACTCTCATCCGTAAATTCCTAATACTAAACAAGCATTAACGTTCATGTTCGATATGTTCACAAAAGTATCTAAACCAAACCTATTTGAGAATAGCTACTTTTGCCTACTTAAGATAGTTCAGGAAAACTAGTGCACTCTCATGTCAAACTATTAATCCTAAGATCAAAATCTAGTTAGTTACTCTAGAATTTGCATTAAGAACAATCCCATATGAAGAACTCTATAGATTTTATCCTAACTGTTTATCGATCTAACAATTCATCTAAATCTCTATTGAGAATCCCTAAATCTAACAAGAAGACTACTCAGACATGATCAATGAAACATAAAACATGTTTGAATAAAATTGCATAAAAGAAAATCAAAGAAGAGATGATAGTTAAGAAAGATCTTCTCTGAATGAGCTCTCTCCAATTATCCCCCAAGGGGTTCAAGCTCCCAAGAACAAAGTAAAATAAAGCTTAGGTCTAAATAATGACCTTAAAATCCTATTTATAGCTTAAAAACACGAGCAGGGGCTTCTTTGCAAATAGAGATAACTTATGGTATTTTGTATAATTCTCTAGAACTTCAGAAAGACATGAAATCGAATTGCCGTCAGATATTAGTGTCGACCGACACCAAGCTCCAGTTTTAGTCTCCGGATTGCTCTTGTAGCACAACTTCTCGGTTTCGCTCCAAAATGCTTCATTATCTTCAAATGCATCCCGATCGTGTAAAAACTTGAAAAAGATAAGAAAAGACTTTAGAAAAAATAAAAAGACTCTAAAAATCATACTTATATCATAGTTAACAATAGTAAAAACCATGATATATCATTGGTCATCTTATGTATTACTACTCCAGTTGTACTCTATACTATATAATTTGATGACAAAAAAAACGAAAAAACAAAAGAAAAAAACAAAAAAATCTAGACTGTATTAAGATTGAAGCTATTTGATTATATCCAAAATCCCTCTGATTTGAAATTTCTATAGTTTACATGTGACATGTCGATTAAGTTTTTGAGAGAGGAGCGTTGCCGATATTAAAATTAGTCGATGATCGCTGATCGCTGATCGCTGATCAGTAATTGTTTTCTCATTTCAATTTTTCGATGGACAAGAGGCCCAAATCAAGATGACGTTAGGTCCAATTCAAGATGACATGAGGCCCAAGTCACTTGATTTCTAACCCTATATCTACTAAGTATCATTACGTGTGTATATATGTGTAGATGATTGTGCTGCAAAAAAAAAAGAACGAAAAGAGAGCCTAAAGCTTAACGTCACATTAACGTTAGAATTATTTCATCTTTTTTTTTTCTTTTCCTTTTTAATGTCAATACAGTAAAACCTCTATAAATTAATAATGTTGGGACCATAAAATTTTATTAATTTAGAGAGGTATTAATTTATCGATAAATTAATAATTATTAATTTATAGAGAGATTTTCCTAATTTTGTAATTTCTTAAAAAATTTCTATCTAAAAGTATTTTTTTTCTTTATTAGCAATATCTTTTTTAAACCAATTGCAAGTAGAGAACCAATTATAAGTTTAAAAAACAACCCAAACTTTTTTTCGAATAATAGAGTCATATTTCATTAATTTTTTACATATAATATTTTAAATATATATCATAGTAATTCATATATGACATATATAAATTTATATCATATATATATTAAGTTAAATATACACATATATATATATATATTGATAAATTTATATAATTATTAATTTATAATATAGATGGGACCATATGTTTACAAGAGATTTTCAAAAAAATTATTATCTTATTAATTTATCGATTTATGTCATATTTTACACTGGTCCCAACTCGGGACCGGAAAAATTTATTATTTTAGAGAGGTTATTAATTTATAGAGTATTAATTTATAGAGGTTTTACTGTATTTACTTTGACGTCTCTACCGCCTCTACTAGTAAACACCCACGTTTTCTCTCGAGTCTGTGGGCTCCACCACTGTCCAACGGTCGGTCCACTACTTTCGAGCGGTTTTAAAGAATTGTTTACCTTTGCTAAAAATTATGACATGATCTTTTTATGTATTTTTTCTTCACTCACACAGTTCCGACAATCACTTTCCGGAAGGTCACCAATACTGAAATTGTTCCAGCTCAAACACGCTTAACTGTGGAGTTCTCACAGGACGTTTGACCGAAAAGATAAGTGACTTTGGTAACATAGGTAGCCAGATCAATTCTTTTAAACCTCTCTGCATGCACCACCATATTCCTGAAATTGGAGTGTTACAATTCATCCCCACTAACTGATCGCAACGTCTTCGTTGCAAACCAGGACGGTCACCCCCGACGGTGTGAGCCCTCTAGACTCTACGCTCGTTTGGATTCAGCTCTGATACCACTTGTAACGCTCCGACCGCCCCTACCACTGAGCACCCACGTCCTCTCTCGGGCCCGTTGGCTCCACCACTGTCCAACGGTCGGTCCGCTATGTCCGAGAGGCTTTAAAGACTTGTTTACCGACCCTATAAATCACCACATGATCTTTCCCCGTGTTTTGTCCTCATTCACACGGTTCCGACAATCACTTTCCGGTAGGTCACCCATCCTGAAATTGCTCCAGCTCAACCACGCTTAACTATGGAGTCCTCACAGGACGTTTAGCCGGAAAGATAAGCGCACTTTGGTAACATAGATGACCAGATCAATTCTTTTAAACCTATCCGCATGCAGCACCATATTTCTGAAACTGAAGTGTTACATTTACATTCGTTAATGCTTTTTATAAATTAATTTGGAAAATGTTAAAATCAAGGGATAACAATAATTTTTCATAACAATTTACATAATTACTAAGGATTAAGAGTACTATTTTTCTTCTCAATATTATTTTTCACTAAATATAAAAAAAAATACAATTAGTAATATTAAATATTTATCGATAGATTCATGTCACCACGTAAAATTGGAAACAAGGACTAAATAATGAGAAATTTTAATATTCGCATAGATACTTTTAAATTTAAATTTCCCTTTCTGTAATGTGGTATTAGTTCTATTTGCGATGGTAATAATCAATAAATATTTGACTTAT